CCCCAAAACCCCAAAACCCCAAAACCCCAAAACCCCTTCAAAACAAATAAATATTGACTTCTGAGTAAATTTACAAGATGGGTAACAACAGCACAATCGATATCCAAAATGACGAGTTACTTGCCTGAAAATTAGGAAGTGTAAAGGAAAACGACCCAACAGATGGAAAGGAGGTTGATCTTTACTACCAGCCAGGAAAAGCTTTCTTTACAATGCAGATTGGAGAGATAGCACTAAGTAAGCCGACAGTAGCTTTCAAAAGTACGTAATATTGAGTCATGAAAATCAAATCAATGAAAATTAACTTCCTCTAATATTTTCTTTTTAGAATGAAGAAAAATCATCCCTTGTGAGCAAGTATACGGAGTGTCCACTTTTGAAGATTTCTTACTCAATGATATTGGTTCTACTTATCGAATTTCCATTTTGAAGAAAGAAGAGAACTCAGATAAATTTGAAATTCTAAATTTTTATTTCAAAAGAGAAGAAGATTTTGTACAAGCACAACTGAAACTAGATGAATACAATTTTGCTGATAGAGATGGAGTTGAGAGGAATATCTGAGTATTAGTAAACCCAATTAGTGGAAAGAAAGTCTCTAGAGAATATTATTTTAGCATACTAAAACCAGTACTCAGTTTTAATAGTATCAAACATTCTATGTTCGAAACACAAAGTGCTACATACATTGAAGAGTTTATCACAGAGCTTGATGTAAATCAAACATCTTTTAATGAATTCGTTGTTATTGGAGGAGATGGAGTCTTTAGTCAATTGCTTAATGCTCTAATGAAGCATTCAGATAGTTCAAAACTTATCAAATTTCCGATTGGGATTATCCCTGGAGGTTCTACAAACTCATTATGATGAGCCCTTTCTGGAAAGAATCCTTACATGGCAAGCAAAAATATAGCTAATAAATCCCTACTCAAAGGTGACATCTTCAGAGTGAACATGAATGACTCCAAGAAGTCTATATACTCAACTGCACTGACATATGGATTACCCAGTGACTTAGTAATAGAATCCGAGAATTTAAGAAATATTTTTGGGAGATACAGGTATATTGCAACTGCTGTTCCAAAGTTTATCAAGCCAACGAAGTTTCCGGTCTACGAGAGTGAAGTATTTTACAAGTTAGAAGATGATCATCAGCAGCAGAGTAGCACTGATGATGCTCATATTGAAGGAAGTGATTTGAGGGTGTGAGGCATATCCATACCAAAAATACCAGATGGTGACCTTAGAAGTGATTCCACTCTTTTTAAATTTGGAAATGAATGGAAGAAAATAAATATTGATGAGTTCTTATTCCATGCAATTATTACTCATGAGAATAGATCCTCAGTAGGAAAAGATGTCAACGCCCCTTTTGCAAGGATAGATGATGGATTCATGTATCTCTTTGGACTAAAGAAATGCTCCAGGATTGAGGCTCTCACCTTTCTTTCAAGAGCTTCTAAAGGAACTCAGGTAGATTATGAAAAATATTTTTATCAAAAGGCTACAGAGTTAAGATTCAAGAACCCATGTGGATCCTACTTTTGTTCAGACGGTGAGCCTTATAAAAGTGATGACTACACTGTTAAACTTCTGCCAGGATTTGTCAACCTGATGGGAGAAACTGTAAAAGAGTAGAAATGCTCATCTCATTAGATTTTATTTAGGAATTTAAAATAAAACTGATTGGGGTTTTGGGGTTTTGGGGTTTTGGGGTTTTGGGGTTTTGGGGTTTTGGGGTTTTGGGG